AGATATTGCCTATTAAAGTTAAGTATTAATTTATTTTTTTTTACAAAGTCAAATTTCGTAGTTTTTGTTATTTGTTGGATTACTAATAAAAAAGTATATTATTACATCTGAACCCGAACATGTTTATGAACTTCAAACCAAACTTGAACTGAACTATTATTTGTGTTCAAGTTCAGTTCAAGTTCAAAAATTGTTGGTTCAGGTTCGAGTTCTGGTTCAAAAATAGCAAAATTGCAAGTTCGAGTTCAGGTTTGGGTTCAGCCAAACCTGGACCGAACTGAATCTGAATGTCAGCGCTCTACCTTTAAACAACAAAAACAAAAACAAAAAGAGTCCAATGTTTCTTCTGAAATTGTATAAAAATTGTATATATATAACACTAAAGTTATTCTTTAAATTCTCAAGAAAGTATAGTATTGTATTATAAAGAGAATATTAACAACTCAGGTTTTCTATAGCATATGTTTGTTATTTGTTTATGGTATAAGAAACAACAGGCCACTACCTAATTATGTTTGTTGATATGTATTGCAGATTTTTTGAAGAAAATAAGCCAAATCTTCTAAAAAAATACTAACAAGTTAGAGAAAAAATCTAAAAGATGATATCAGAGAAGGCTACTTTTAGAAAAGTAAGATTTTGCTACTTGTTTTTTTGCTAAAAACAGTACAAATACTTGTTGAACTAGCTATCCCTATTCTAGCAAACTACTAGTAAGCATCACTTAGAACAACAGAGATATTTGACAATTTTTCTTATATCTACTACTTTTTTATAGTATTCAAGAGTTATATCCAGATAATGCAGCTAAAAAGAGCTCATACAAGAAAGTTATTCACTCATGATATGTTGTAGAAAGCTCAAGAAAAAGAATATTGTTATCTGTTATAGCAAAAAAGATTTTTCACAGGTTAGATATTTTGTAAAAAAAGTAATCAGAGAATTGATAAAAAGAGTTAAATATATTTTACAAAATTTTAACATAATAAATAACTTATTTAAATTTATATATTTATTAAATTTTTATAAAAACTAATTAAAAAATAAAAAACTTTTATTAATAATACATTTTAATTTACTATATAAAAATCTATTATACTATCTAGATCATACAAAAAATGATCTATATACATCCTACTCTTAATACCATGATGTTCTTTTTGTTATACAACTTTACTCTAATTATTTCTCTTTCTGCTTTGCCTAGTAGTTGTTACTTGTAAATAATTTTATAAAAGTAGAAAGTAGTTTAGCATCTGCTAAATCCTTTAGTATTAGTGCATTTAAGTTACTTATTTATATTCTTGTTGTAGGATTGAGTATCTAGGAATAATCTTACAAGAATTTTTGACCCAGCTCCTTACAATATTATTAATTTTTGTTAGTTGTTTTCTACTCGGAGACACAAGATATATAGCGTACCAAATTTTAACAGAACCAAAGTTTTGATTATTAGGAATGCATAAGTTTAAATGTAGACGTTTAAATAATTACCAAAAACTGTATAATAACTCGGATATGTTTTGTAAATCAAGTTATATCTAATTTTTAAATTAATAATATAACAAGATATTCAAATTAAAACTTGCTTAACAAATTCTAAGCAGTAAAATTGTATAACTATTTGTAAAACTCAAAATCTGATAAAAGAAACTTGTGCAAGAATACTAGTAAATCTAATCTGTAGATTAACAGCACTAATTTGATTTGGATAACAAACTACAGTAGTAAGGATATAAATTTGTCTACAAAAAATCTCCGTCTCTGGAAACGTGATTTTATTTTGTCAAATTCGTGATTACTTTATTTATTGAATAACATAGTGTTTTCTTGATAAGTCATATAATTTATAACAAAAGTAAATTACACTTCTGCATAATGTTTTGTGGTCCTTCTTCATCGCTATGGACATCCGATATCACATTATTTTTATAGATGCTACATTATGAATATGCAACCTTAATTTTTTTGAAGTCGAATTTATTATTGTACGACTCTAAATACTAGGTTAGATCACTGTGTAACATAAATTTGGTATATTACTCCAAAATTGCAGCAATTTTCGGAAAAAGTTCTCAGAACGATAATAAGAAAAATGACAATTTTTAGCGATATAATTGCATTACCATCCGTATCTGTAATGTTTTTCGTGTATAATTTAGTAAGTATTTTCCGCGCTTTACTGATATAAATCGAAATTATTCATTTACCTGTTTCATTATACAGGTTCAAAATCGGCCGGTAATGGATGATGATGTTGCTGTTGAATATTTAGAAAAATTACAACGTGTGAAGGTTAATAAAAAATTTTTTTCTATTTATATGATCAATTTTCTAATTACAAGTTTACCTAAATCGAGAAATTTTACGTAAATTTAGGGTGCTTTTGATCACGTCTTTTATGTTGAATTATGGATTGCCGCTTTAACTGGATTAGCAGAAGAATATGGTGATTATTCGGGTTCAGGAGGTCATGCTCTTTTATGGAAAAGTTTTGTGCTTGTCAAGGTAATTATGCTAAATGATATTTGTTTTTTTTTTTTTTAATTAAATTAAATATTAATCTAATAAATTCATGTCAGCTTCCTGCATTAATCGAAAAGTTGGAAGCAAGAAAATTATCAAAACTTGGTGAAAATGAAGAAATTAAGGTATATTCTTTAATTTGATATTCGAAATCTAATAAATATTATTAATATTAATTTTGCTTTCGGTAGTATGGTCGTCATGAATGTGTGATTAATCAATTGTTTGGGTTTCGAGGATTGTTTAGTGCATGTAATCAGCAATCGGAAGGAATAATCGAAGATATTAATATTTTTCAGTGAGCACTATATTCATATTGCATATGTCAATTTTGTTGTACGATTCATTCACCTTGGTTATCAAACAACAATTATATAGGGTTGCTGATATATCAGCTGATATTTTAAAAGCATGCATTAAAAGAAATCTTTTAAGACGAGAGTTTGTATTACGATTATTGGAACTCGAATATAGTGGATCAGATTCTATGGTATTTCATTTATTATATTTTTGAAAAAATTATTATTAATGTAAATAACAGTAATATATATTATTAGGAAACTGATTCTTATGCTGGTAATATCCTAGATGATCCTAATAATGATATGATAGAAAGTTTTGTGTCTATGATTACTACACGTCTTTCGGATCAGGAGTCAAGAATTGAAACAATATTAAGGGTAACTCATATTATACTCACTATCAATAAATTTTTGAAACATATTTACATTTAAAACTTATTAAGGTAATAACGGAGTGGAGTAATAATCGAAAATTACAACTTTTGTCTACATTGTGTCGTCTTCTTAACGAAAATTCGGTTCTTCTTGATATTATTCTTCTGTATCATCATCCTTCTGCAATTTTGCAACCTTTGGAACAATTATGTAATACATGGGAAAAACCTAATGATGATGATGATTTGGGTAATATTTTCATCTTATTGTATAAACACTCAGATTAGAAATATAAAAGTATAAAAATACATAATATATGATAATCTTATGGCAGAATCTTATCTCAAGGATTGCGAAAATTTTGGCACAATATTTTTATTCTTTATCAATATAATTGATAGATATGAGGTAAACATCACATATGTATTATAATTTATTTTGACATCTTTATCAACTCTGTAATTCCCTTTTCAAAAGTTATATAAGAATCTTAAAGATGTACTATGTGATGAAAAAGGTTTTTGCCATACGTGGATTCTTCAATCATCAGTTGCGTATGAAACGAGGTCCATTACTACTGAAAAGGCTTATATGGTTGAGAATTGGGTTGATGCAATATCCTCAATTGAAGATATTCCTAATGATCTTATAATGTATATTATTTGTTTTAACAATGAAGATTTTTTTTATATTAAATTATATGACTTTACTAAGTACTACCTGATTTTCTATATAGGGCGACCAATCCCCGAATTTTAATCGAATTAGCACCCACAATATTCAAGCGAGCACTCTTAGGAATCGACAAAAATTTTGAAAGTGCCAGATCTGTTACACTTGAAACATTGTTGACAAATTTTGAATTTTTTTTGAAACCTCATTCATCATATGCATTGGTTGGAGCCATTCAATGGCTATGTGATGATGTTTTCTTTAAAGGGTAAAGATTATATGTTTAATATTGGTATATTGTATTGTATTACTTTTGCTTATTACTCATATAATTTAACAGCCAGAACACGATATCATCAAAAGTCCTTAAATTTTTGATATCATCAAAGGATTTCCCTGTTTCAGTTACACGATTAGTAACAAATAAAGTGTTGAATATTTTAGGTAATTCATCAGGTAGTTTACCATCAATAGAAGATACTGAGACAGACATTAGACTAAAACTTGCTACTGCAAGTAATGAACCAGGTATTTCTGCAAATAAATAAAAAATTTTCAACATATATTCTCGATGGCTAACATATTCCTAAAATGTGAACCCAGTATTATCATCCTCAAAACATCCATCCGAAACACTTTTCTCACGCTTTGATATAATGTTTAAATCTATTGTCTGTGGTGGACGCAAGCGACAAACTACTCCTAACAATATGAATATTGAATATGATATTGAATCTCCTCAGATAGACTTAAACATATCCTGGTGGGGACCACACCATTTAGATATTAGTTTGTTTCGATCATGTCTAGAAATTCATGGACCAAAAATCTTTGTGGATTTGATTGTTAAGGTTGCTTTTGCATTTTTTATATTCCATGAAAAGTTTCTGTTATCTAATCATGGATTCAAATTTATTAGGATATACTTACTATTAGCAAAAAAGGAATTGGCCATCGAGCAGGTAATTTTTTTACTTTTTGAACTTTTTTTGTTTTAATATATTATAATTAGTTTGTGTTCTTTAATATAATTATTAGCCGAACTTGGTGCCTCATTAATTACAATCCCTTTATGCTATACGTGGAATGCATATATTCACCCAAATAATCTCATTTACATCCTATTTTCGGATGTACTTGTTCGTGCACTTGACAAAAATGTCACTTTATATGTACAAGGTCAAGCTTTAGGAATAATGGCTTTACTAGTATTAATTATTTGGAAAACTCAATCTAATATATCCACTAAAATTGGTGGAAAGAGTATTTATGAAATGTTGATAACATATATATTACCAAAATTTCAAAATCAAAAAAATTATAGTGAAAATGATTTAAATCAACATAAAGTAACAAAAGAAACTTGGAGTACACTTATGTATGGACCTACGAGAGGGTTTATTGATAGTTTGATCTCTTATAATGATCTTATTGAAGAAGTACCACAATTGGCCGTGTTCAAAAGTTAAGTCACGAGAACTAAAATTATTAGAGTAATATTCAGGTTCATCTTTATAATTTTAATTAACAACACATAAGAGAATATATAAATTATTAGTCATTTGTATTTTATAATTTTTATGATACATATATAGATGATATAAAATTGTAAATAAATGCAAGCTTTTTGAATATAAAATTGCAAAACTCATACTAAGATTTTGAGATACAGTAACTTTTTTAAAATTAGTACCGTATATCTAGTTTAAACCATTTATTGATTCTTTAACATAAGTTAGTATGATATAACTAAACAGTTTGACATATTACTCAAAAACTTTATAAATATAAAGATATTAAAGATAAAAATATATCTGATATACTTGGATTAAATAATGAAAAAGATAATATAGATAATGATTTGAATGATGATTATTTTGTTTTTTTTTTAACCTCCACTAGTGGGATGAATAAATAATAAATTAAGTGATAAATAAGATAATAAATCAGATAATAAATCAAATAATAAATCAGATAATAAATGGGATAATGAATTAGATTAATGATTTTAGATGATGAATTAGATAGATAAATTAGATGATGAATTTGATGATAAATTAGATGATAAACTAGATGATAAATTATATGATAAATGAATAATATATTAGATAATAATTTAGATAACAATAAAACAGAAGCAGATAATTTAAATGAAAAAAGGTTTGACATATTAATAGATAAAATTTCTAAAAATGATGATTTTTTAGAAAACTATTTTGTTAAAAAACAAAAACTCAATATTAAATTACTAAAATAATATTAGTATTAATATATATTAAATATAGATAAAATATTAAAATTAAAAATTTAAAATTCAAAAAATAAAGAATTTGAAAAAAAATTTGAAAATTAAAAATCATAAAAAAAAATTATTAAAATTTATATTTTTAAAGATATTAAATATTAAATTTATCTTTATTAATATAAATATTTTTTATTTAAGTTATATACATAGAATTGACAGATTAGTAAAAATTTATATATAAGCAAAATCTGATTAAGATTTATATTTAGATAAAATCTTATTAAGAATTATATATGAAGGCAAAATCTGATTAAGAATTTATATATACATAGACAAAATTTGATTAAGAATTTATATATAAGTAAAATTTGATTATGTAGAAATTAATATATATTATTTTTATTAAAATATATTATAAATAATAAAGATATATATTATTATGAATTTTAAAATTAAATATAAGGTCTGGTGATCTTAGTGTAGTGGTTAGGTTGTCAGACCGCTATGTAAGAGGTCTGGGGTTCAAATCCCACTGTCGACAAATTTGAATAATTACTTAGATCTTTGTATTCAACTTACGGTAAACCCTATCTATTTCTGGGGTTGTAACTCTGTAAATCGTGTTGTACTAATATCAATCGGGTATTGGAAGTGTAATAGAAAAGTCAGGTCTGATGTAACATTACATGAATAAATCTTGATAGGATCTACAAGCAGAGGACCTGCATGGTAGAAATCCTAAGTTAGATAATATAGTATAGATTTTAACAGTCACGCCAGCTTGATGCTTGATCTGGAGGAAGTCTAGGAATGAAGAATGCAGACTGAGTGGGTGCGAGTAAGTCTATAATGTAACAGAAAAGTTAAGCATAATATAATGTTACACGAATAGCAACACCAACTTGGCTTGGTAGCTAACTGGATTTGGGAAGATCTATCTCATGAAACATTCGGAAGAACTAGACCAATCTGGTGGAGAGCTACGGAAGGAACTGAGTTTATATGAACACCGATAAGGGTATATACTAGCTTAATTGGGATATAGTATAGCATAGTTAGAGTCATCTGCAAGCCCTCACTGGAATAGGACGCAGGTAGGTACTTTGTGATAGGGCCTAGTCCTATGAAGTCAATTTGAGGCACAAGTTGGTCTGAGTAGTCCTCAAATGAGGCAGCACAAGATTAACGTAGATAAATAAATATTAGGTTAAAAATAGAGTTTTACTGTGATGCCAGAGGGTTTAAATAGAGTATTTACAGGCAGATACTAGGTATAGCAATTGGTAGGTAACCTATATGATGGAACTTATAAATAGACAATGACTAAAGTTGTACGTGTAGCCAATTGTATCCTCACTAACAAATGTAACTTAAAAATAATACTTAATAAAAATCTGCGAACAGCTTGTTGAAAAAATAAAATAAAAAAAAAAAAAAAAAAAAAAAAAAAATTCTATATTTATATATGATAAATATATAGTATTTAATATATTTTACTTAAATTTTAAAAATAAAATAATAAAGAAAATATATTTATAATTTATTATAAACTACTATATCTAAATATATATTAATAGTAAATTTATTTAATAGATATAATAATAGGATTTGTATTACTTTACTAATAATTATTTCATCAACAACTCATTTAGCTAATATTATTCCAAGTAATAATTTACTAAAAATATATACCTGAAACTAATAAAACTCTAACTTTAAACCTATGTGATATTAGTTAAATAAACTTTCAGTAAAATGACTATTAGTGAAGTAAATAACACTATAATAATAAATTAATAATAGTTTAAATTATTTAACTTAAATTAAAATTAAATTTTAAATATAAAATTAATATTTAATATTAACTTTAACAAAGTTTCAAATCAAGTTCAAGTCAGGTTAGATTTGAATTAAGTTGAAGCTTATAAGCAGATATTTATATAATTAGTTAATTTTAGTAGATTTACTTATGATTGTCTGTAATAATTAACTAATCAAAATACATAATTTTATAATACTATAGTTGCTAGAAAACAAAACAAACTTCAAATAAAGAGGTTTACAAACTAATAAATATATACAAAAGAATGAATTACTTATATTTAGAGAATAGATAGATATTGTAAAGTAGATAAATATAATATTTATTACTAATAAACCCAAACTCATTAAAAAATCTACATACAAGATCTACATACATACAATATATAAACTACAACTATTAATATACAGTTAACAAGCCTAAATACATTATAAGAACTAATCAAATTTAAATATTAAGCCTGAATTTTCCACTACTAAGAGCTTGTATCTACTCAAATTAAACAGTTAAAAGCAAAACTTTGTCTAAATCTAATATAATAAAATAGCTTTAGACAAAAATATTATCAGTTACTTTCATTCTATAATATAGTCTAATAAACAGTAAGTATATATTGTCTTCTAAGTAAAGTCAGTCAAATTACAGATTATTTTGAGATTATTTTTTTCAGTAAGTATTGACATTTGTTTAAAACAAAAAATAGCCTTTGTAACAATTTTTTATTGGTAAAATATTACAATCTCAAAAAGTACTCTAAAGTATATAAATAAGTTACCTGGTGTTACTATTGTAACTGCGCTCCATTTAAACATTTACTCTATAATTAATTTTTTTTTACTTTTATCTCTATATTTATCTACTGATATACTTACCTTCATTTCCATTAATAGATTAGTCCCCTATATAGTTATTATTATTCTTCATTGTCTTTATTTGTATAAGATCTATTATAATACTGATAGATCATCTTTTAGTTGTTAGCTTAATTTAATGTTCAATAATCCATAGCTTGTATTTCTAAATTAGTTTCAGGTTATAGTTTTCGTGTTGTTTAGATCTTTAGCCTATGTGTTAGTATTGTTGAAAGATTGATAGTGCAAGGTGGAATGTTTCTTGTATCATAGTTATTAAAAAGGAAATCTATTCTAATGTAAAGCATTGCTACGCCAAACCCATCATGTATATAACCCCCCCCCCCCGAGACTCTTATCTGTTCCTTTAGGAATTATCAAGTATTATTAAGTATTATCTTTATAATTCTTCCTTTATAATAAAGCCTTTCTTTGTGATCCTTTATTTATATCGTACTGAGACTGTTGATTAGTTCCTTTCTCGCTTCTTTAATTCTTATCTTGATACCTTGCTAAGTGCCCGTATCCCTCTACTATCTTCACTTCATATCTACTATCTATTCTACTTTTGCGCAACTATATCTTTCTACCTATATACTTACTCTGCTAGCCACATCTATTTGCTACGTGCTTATATCTACCTTTTACTTATCTATACACGTGTTCCACTTTATTTATCCTCTTTTTATCAGTTTACTATCCTGACTAAACTTGGCCCAATTATTATTTGCTCTCCCACGATAGTAACACCGGACAATTGATTTACATCAGCCAATCATACGAAAGTCTGACCATGAGGTTGAAGCACTAACCCGAAAGTTATTCAACCCGACCCGTTCGGAGCACTATATATATCTATAATGATACAATTAATTAACTGTGATAACTTTACTATGGACTAATTATTTTTTTCGAAATCTTTTGTATCTTAATTGAATATTTATACTGTATGTTTCAATTATAATAAATAACCTTTGTAATTATAATTAATAAAAAAAAAAAAAAAAAGGTATAATAATCAACATTAGTTCTTAGAGTATATTTTTTTTCGTTTTTTTTTTCAACTATCCCATGTTGAAAATACTTGCACAAAATATTTAATTCAGGCATCTCTAAATGCGTCCCTTGGAACCATACAAAAAATTATGCATATAAATTTATAGGTAACTAATTATAAATAGTGTCACGGGGAGTTTTGACACGGGATAGCAATTATTACCATATTTAGTAAAATTGTAAATAGTGTAAAGATAGTCAAACCGGTAATAATTGTTAATCACGTAACATCTGTAAAAACCGTCAAGAATGTAAAGACGGAAAATACGGTAAAATTGGTTTATCGTGTAAAAGATGGGAAATAAGGGAAATAAGTAAATAGTGGTAATTATGTAACGAACCAAAAGTTATAAAAGACCTTTGGTTTTGCTCTTGTTAACAACAACCCTCTTTAGAGAATTGTTCGAAATTTTCTAAAGTTTTGAGAACGTAAATGCCTTTACCACCTCTTTTTAATTCCTGTTGTTCGATATTCCACTCTGTAAATGGCCCATTTTCCCATATTGCTGAATATATTTTAGAAAATCCACCTTTAGCTATGAATTTAATATTTGTAAAATTTTCATAAGGAATATATTCGAATATTTGTGATGGAGATATAGCACTAAGTTGATATGATTGGATCAATTTGTCAGCCTTACTATTGCCTGAAGACCATTTGTTGAACTGGTTTTTTAAATAATTACGGATACAGCATTCACAATAAAGAATAGCAATAACTTTATTATTACAATATTTACATAGTCTTTTTTCACCAATATTTTCCGATACATTTTGTATATCGCTTATTTTTGATAGGTCATCTATCAAATAAATTTTTTCATCTATATTTAGAAATGAGTCGTTATAAACTAAATTACAAAGAGCTTTAAAGAATTGAGGGCCTGAAAGTTTGGGAAATACTCTCGAATTTACTATGGCTCTTTGTCGACGATCAGATATAACATCAATCCGAAGGTTAGATTGATTCATTTTTTACAAGATTTGATAATTTTTTACCACATTATTAATAACAGTATTTATATATATTTTTTTTTCAAATGATTTTAATATTATAATGATACTGATATTATTATTTATATTTAAGTCTGCAAAAAACATCTTATTTAAGATAAATTTTAGGTTTGAGAATATTCTTTATTAAATAACGATATGATAAAACCGTATAATGTAACATTAAATTTTTATATACAAGGGCTTCGCGTGTAACGCATATGAATGTCGTCACTGTTTTAAAACGTTTTAAATGTATCTATTGAAGTTTCCTTTTTGATGAAAGCTTAAGGAGATAAAAGTCAATTTTCAGAATATACAGTAATGCAATTATGTTAGTTGACAAGGTAAATTTTTGAATTAAAGACACAATTTAGATAATTGTGGACTACCCAGCCCTTCTCATGAAAATACGCAGTTTATATAAACATTTTTTTTGTTAGTTATTCACATAATGGCATTTATACTGCCTATATCTGTATATCCGATACATACTAGAGATAAAACTTAAATTTTTATTAGGAATTAGTATTACACAAGTCATTTATCCATATAATTTCTTTAACGTAATAAAAGTTTGATTTCTTCAAAATAACTTCAAAAATCTGAAAATATTTCCAGGTATATAAATTCTATCAATGAATTGGAAATCACAAGTCAAGAGCAATTGACTTGAATATTACATATCAAATTCTTTCTCTTTATATTAATTATAGGTATAACCAGTTTTTTGAATAGTTAAACGTTCAAATTGTTCTCAGTTTACAGGATTAAATTCTTACTAACATCTTTAATTGAAAGTAAATCTCGTTAATTTAAATAGTAAAATAATCGCGTTGTCTCAATTTTAAACACAAGACATAATTTGGATAAAAATAGATATTATAGTTTCATATAACTTGAAATAATTAAAGGGTTTAATTTGAAAACTCGATAATAAGTAATTTTTTTTATGAACGTAAACTCAACGCTGGTTATGTTAAAAATTTATACCTCCTCCAAATATATCTGCAATTATGCAATATTTACTTAAATAATTCTAAGTACTTTCTTAATTTGTATAATTTTTTGATTCCACCTAATTATATAATACTGTCAGGCGTTTTGACGTTGCCAAAAATTGTGAAAGAAATATTCTTTGTTATCATTCTAAGTTAATTTAGATCTCCGAAAATATTCAAATTAAAGTTTATCATATGTTTTATCAAGGTTACATAAGATTGTGTCATGCAATTATTGTAACCAATGATCATCCAACTCCAAATTTTGTACTTCCAAAAAGTTAATAATGACTTAATTTAAAATATTCGATATGAATGTATGCACGGGAAGACCCTTCATTTTTTTTTTGACGTACGCATGTACAACGCACAGCAAACAATCCATAAAAATCTGCTGTCTAAGGATCCGTTCATATGCGCCATTTCTCTATTATCATTATGCAAGCAAGTTTCATATTAATTATATCATAAAATGCAGTATGACATTAACTTTTTCATTAACCCGAAGAATATGATAACTTTCCGGGGTTAAATACAAATTATTATACTAAATTAGTATTTATTTAGCATAACGAACTTTATTATGGTTGGCAAATTTTTTATTTTTTATTTTTTTTTTGGAGAATATATCTTTAGCCTAAAAAAGTTTACAATTTATAATTATTCTATTCAGAACAATCTATTTTATAATCACAAAGACTGATACAATTATAGGTTCGGGACTATCTAATCTATACAAAATAATCCAATATAATCAAAAAAATCAAACTAATTTATTACCCAAACTTGGAAGGCTTGAAAGAGACGGTCCGAGTTAGGGTTACTGAGATAAGTTTATGAATATTATGGTTGGGTCTTTGGATTCACTATAAAGTCTATCTTATCACGTGAACAAGATATTTATAGGAAATTTCTACGGGTACAGCAACACGTGACTTATCGCCATTATCAGCACAGTGTTACCGGCGGAAATATCAACCAACAAACAACAACAAAATTATCCGATTCTGTCGGTCCGGAATCAGGTTTCTTGCGTAACGTAAAGAAATATCTAAGCGGTTAAGGCTCTCTCGGCTGAGGCGTACGATTTGGTCGAGTAAGA